GGTATTTTTAAGTCACTTAAGGCTTGTATATAGATGTACACCCTGTGAGTCTTCTGTCAGGTATTGAGAATTTTCCACAAACCCATTTCCCACACTTTTACTCACTCCATTTACTTCATTTTGCTTTATGACCCCTCTGGTTTTCTGCCCCACCTCCCTTTGAGCCAGCGCAGCCCCTGGGGTGCCGGGGGGTCCCTGGGGGTCCCTGGGGGTCCCTGGCCCTGCCCTGATGCTCTCTGCTCCCAGGCACGCCCCAGGTGCAGAGGGTGATGATGGTGATGATCAGCGACCACCAGAAGCTCTTCCCCCCCTCCAAGGACGAGCCTCCCTCCCCGCCTGCCCCCAAAAACGAGAAGAAAGCTCCCGTCCCCCGCAGCTCCGTGGGCTGGGGGGCTGCCGAGGACCCCAGGGGCCCCACCCCAAGGCAGACGGTAAGGCTGGGTTCATTAAATAAATTAATTAATTAACCTACGTTCATTAAACGTGTGGTTAATTGTGGCAGGCTCTGACAGGTCAGGGAGCCCTAAAAGCATTTGCTATTTTTGGGTTCAAAAGCTGTGTCTGTCACCCCTGGAATATTTACATCAGGAAAATGATGTAGATAAACTTTCCACTTTCCTGTGGAAAATCTGCTGCTCTGGGGAATATGAAAACTCCCAAAGCTTTTTGGCCAGAGCACATGAAGCCTTTCCAGCTCAGGCTGGTGAGGGGAAAGCAGTGAGGGTGAAAGGCTTTTCTTCAAAGGGAGTCCTGCAAAAATGATAAATTTGGTGCAATTCCAAGTGGATTTTAATGGAAAAGTGTGGCCAGCACGTTCCAGTGTGCCCCTTGTAAAGCTCTGTGCCCTGGCTGCCCCAGGGCTCTGTTTTGCAGAGGGATCACCCCAACTTCAGCAGCAGCCCTTGCCCAGCTGCCACCTCGAGCGTGCCTGGGGAGGACTCAGAGCCCACAGCCACGCTGGGCACGTGGAAAACCCAGCCAAGGAAAAGAACCCAGACTTTGCCCAGCAGGAAATCCTTCCTGGCAGCCCCCGGGGACAAGGGCAGGAGTGATGTCCTCACCAGTGACTTCTGGAAGAGCAGCCCACGCCCCCTGGCCTGTGAGGGACACAAGAGAACCCTGTCCCACGACCTCTTTAAGCTGCTGGACCTGCACAGGGCCGCGAGCTGTGACAGCAACGTGGCCGAGAGCGCGGAGGGCAGCGGCTCCANTGTGTGTGTTTTGTGCAGAGGACCGTGAGGATGTACCCCTTCCAGATCCACAGCATCGCCCTGTCCACCTTCGCCTCCCTCATCGGGCCCTTCGGCGGCTTCTTCGCCAGCGGCTTCAAGAGGGCCTTCAAAATCAAGGTGAGCACGGGGTTTGGGGAAGAGGATGGAGGTTTTGGGGGATCACTGAGGTTCTGGGCAGGTCCTGGAGGTGTTGGGGAGGTCCTGGAGGTGTTGGGGAGGTCCTGGATGTTTTGGGGAGGTCATGGAGGTTTTGGGGAGGTCATGGAGGTTTTGGGGAGGTCCTGGAGGTTTTGAGGAGGTCCTGGAGGTTTTGGGGAGAGGATAGAGGTTTTGGGGAGGAAACACAAAGTGGTTGTTGCAGTCCCAGAGCTCCAGGGGAAAGGGAAAGGAGCTTTGTTCAGGCACAGATAAAATGCTGGAGCAGGATTTGGTGTTTTGACCAAAAGGGAAGAGACCTCAAGGTTGTAACTGTGGTATTCCAAACCCTGCTGTGGTGCAGGTGGGGGAAGGAAGACCCAGGCAGGAAATTTTGCAATCTGAGGTTTGTCTTGCAGGCTGGTTTCACATCCAAAGAGCCTGTGCTCAGTTAGGGTGCCTTGAGAGGCAGGGCAGGGTGGCAGCAGATAAACATTTTAAACATTTGCCCTGAGCCTTGCTGAGCCTCCCTGCCCCTCCGGCTCCAGCAGCTCCATCAAGGAGAAACTTCCAGAAGCAGGGAGACATCAAACCAGATTTCCTTGGTGTGGGGAGGGCTGAGTGAGGTGTGTGGGGGCAGCACAGGCGCTGAGAAGGGCTCAGTGCCACCCCTGTGCCCTGCAGGACTTTGCCAACACCATCCCAGGCCACGGGGGCATCATGGATCGCTTCGACTGCCAGTACCTGATGGCCACCTTTGTCAACGTCTACATTGCCAGCTTCATCAGGTAACAGCAGGCCATTCACGGCTCAGGAGGGCTGATCAGCTCTCTGTTATTTGATTTTTATTAGGAAACCCATTGTGTTTGCAGACAGTTACGATACAGGCACAGCTACCTGGTTCTGTGCTTAAAGCACTGAAACCTGGCAGGGTTTTATTGGAGGGGATTTTCTGCTGTTCTCTGTGGGTTGTTGGTGAGTGCCCATCGTGGAGCTTCCTCCACTGCAGCTTTCCCTTCTTAGGGTGTTCTGTTTGAAAATGCACTCAGGCTTGAATTTCTGTCAGGTATTTCACCTTTTCTTGCTGCCCAGGTTTGAATCTTTCTGATATTTCACCTTTTCTTGCTGCCTTAAATCTCTATCAGATATTTCACCTTTTCTTGCTGCCCAGGTTTGAATGTCTGTCAGATATTTCCCCTTTTCTTGTTGCCCAGGTTGTTGAATTTCTGGTAGATATTTCACCTTTTCTTGCTGCCTTAAATCTCTATCAGATATTTCACCTTTTCTTNTCTGCCTGCGCAGCCCCTGCAGCTCTCACTGTGCCCCTGTCTCTCCGCAGGGTTCTGCATGTTTGTGCTCAGCCTGGTGAAGAAGCACTACCGCCTGCAGTTCTACATGGTGAGCTGCCAGCCCTGGGGCTGCTGGGGGGAAATTCAGCTTTTAGTGAGGGTCAAATTCAGGGGCTGCTGGGGTTAAAATTCAGCTTTTAGTGAGGTTCAAATTCAGGGGCTGCTGGGGTTAAAATTCAGCTTTTAGTGAGGCTCAAATTCAGGGGCTGCTGGGGTTAAAATTCAGGTTTTAGTGAGGTTCCAATTCAGGGGCTGCTGGGATTAAAATTCAGGTTTTAGTGAGGTTCAAATTCAAGGTCTGGTGGTGTTAAAGTTCAAGTCTTGATGAGGTTAAAATCAAGGTCCTGGTGAGGTTAAAATTAATGTTTTGGTGAGGTTGAATTCAGGATTTGGTGAGGTTGAATTCAGGGTTTGGTGAGGTTGAATTCGGGGTTTGGTGAGGTTGAATTTGGGGTTTGGTGAGGTTGAATTTGGGATTTGGTGAGGTTGAATTTGGGGTCTGCTGAGGTTGAATTCAGGATTTAGTGAGGTTAAATTCAGGATTTGGTGAGGTTGAATTCGGGGTTTGGTGAGGTTGAATTCAGGATTTGGTGAGGTTGAATTCGGGGTCTGGTGAGGTTGAATTCAGGATTTGGTGAGGTTGAATTTGGGGTTTGGTGAGGTTGAATTTGGGGTTTGGTGAGGCTGAATTCAGGATTTGGTGAGGTTGAATTTGGGGTTTGGTGAGGCTGAATTTGGGCTTCAGTGGTTCAGTCAAACCCAGCCTGTCTGCTCAGATCTTCCTCCAGCACTGAGATGTTCCTGAGGGGTCCCAGGCTGGAATAACTCAGCACCAGAGAGCTCATCCTGCTTCTCTGGCTAATTAATAGACAGATAATTAATGGATGAATGAGCTCTGTGAGGGTGCTGTCCTCTCTTGCAGTTTGGCTGGACCCACGTGACGTTGCTGATCGTGGTCACCCAGTCCCACCTCATCATCCACAACCTGTTTGAAGGAATGATCTGGTGAGTTTGCCCTGCTGTGGGTTGTGCAGCCTGAAAAAAGCTGGGTTTTCACAGAATCCCTCTGTATATTCTATTCTATTCTATTCTATTCTATTCTATTCTATTCTATTCTATTCTATTCTATTCTATTCTATTCTACTCTATTCTACTCTATTCTACTCTATTCTATTCTACTTTATTCTATTCTACTCTATTCTACTCTATTCTGAAAATAATGAAACTAATTACTATTTAATTAATTTATTTATTAATAATTTATTAATAGATTGATTATTGAGTTAAATAAATATTTTTACTCTGTCGCTAATAAATTTAATCTGTTTTTTAATCAATACAGTTCTTTAATCAATTAACTTTCATTACACAATACCACTACTCTAACACTAATCATTTATATTTTTACTCTACGTATTCTTATCACAATGCATCTTTCACGGTTCTAATTCTCTACAATACTCAATCTTTTTGCAAAACTATATTTTAAAACTTGTCAAGACTTATTCCTGGTTCAGTCTCTCTCTCTCAGCAGTGTCATCTCCATTCTCGAACTTCAGTCAGCACTTAATTGAAAATACAGAATCAATATTTTAATTTAATATTTATTTTAAATAGTTTAATTGGAATTGATTTTTATGAAATATTAAGAATAACGTGCAAACCCTGCTGTGCCTCAGGTTCATCGTGCCCATCTCCTGTGTGATCTGCAATGACATCATGGCCTACATGTTTGGTTTCTTCTTCGGCCGCACGCCGCTCATCAAGGTTTGGGTTTGGGGCAAAAATGGGGAGATTTGGGGCAAAAATGGGGATTTGGGGGCAAAAATGGGGATTTGAGCTCCTTGGGCTCCACCAGCTCTGCTTTGGGGCCTCCACTGGGGCTGAAGCAAGTCTCCAAATTAAATCTGCATCCCACTCTTTGAGGCTGAAATTTAATTTAATTTAATTTAATTTTATTGATTTTTATTGAATTTTACTGAATTTAATTTAATTTAAATTCAATTCAATAGCGTTCAATAAAATTCAATGAAATTAATGTAATTTGATCTAATTAAATTCAATAAAGTTCAATTAAATTTGTTTCATTGAATTTTATTTACTTGAATTGAATTGAATTTAAATTCAATTCAATCCAATTCAATTAATTTAATTTTGTTTTATTTTATGAAATTAAATCATCAAACCACTGAGGTGGGAAGATGGTCGAGTCCAGCTGTTGTTGCAGAGATGGACACAACCCTTGTTTTTCTAGAACAGTTGAATTTTTATTGTTCACAGCTTCTTTTTATATGGTGTTAGAAGGCACTGTGTTTGAATTTATCAGGTTAGTAAATGATGGAACCTTAGTGTCCTGATTGGTAAATAATAATGGTTAGTGACTGTGTAATATAATATATATATAATGCTACATAATGACAATGGTTACTGTATATGTTTATTAAACTTTTTTTTTCTAGGCAGTTTACAGTTTTTCTTTACTGATTTTCATGGAATAGACTTCTTATTTTTATGCATGTAAATCGTTTTTCTTACAAGAATTTTGATTTCTCTGCTCTCTCTCTGGCAGCTCTCCCCAAAGAAGACCTGGGAGGGTTTTATTGGAGGATTTTTTTCCACTGTTCTCTTTGGGTTGCTGGTGAGTCCACGGTGGAGCTTCCTCCACTGCAGCTTTTCCTTTTTAGGGTCCTATTTTCCCCTTTTTAGGGTTTTCTGTTAAAAAATGTTCTCAGGCTTGAATCTCTGTCAGGTGTTTCACCTTTTCTTGCTGCCCTGAATTTCTGCCAGGTATTAAATTTTTCTGGCTAACGGGGTTTGAATCTCTGAGATATTTCACCTTTCCTTGCTGCCCAGGTTGGAATCTCTCTGAGACATTAAACTTCCCTTGCTGACAGGGTTTGAATCTCTGTCAGATATTAAATTTGTCTGACTGACAGGGTTTGAATCTCTGTCAGCTCTTAAGCTTTTCTTGCTGACAGGGTTTGAATCTCTGAGCTTTCTCAGAGCTTCCTGAGACATATCTCTGTTCAGAGGATGTGTGATTACCACAATTAATCTCCTTAATGAACCTGGGACAGCATGTGGCAGTCACATTTTCTGAAAACTCCCTTTGCCCAGGATTTCTCTCCTGGGAAGCTGAGAAGCCTCAGAGAAAAAGGAAAACAATTTTACCTCATTGCTTCTCCTGTGTTTTGCTGCTTTGGAATGTGTTGGAGATCGTTTCATTGGTTTCATGTGAATTATTTTGATTTATTGGCCAATTATGGCCGAGCTGTGTGGAGGCTCTGGAAAGAGTCACGAATTTTCATTATTATCACAGAATGACGAGACTGGAAGAGACCTCTGAGATCATCCAGTCCAGCCTGTGCCCCAGCACCTCACCCAGGCTATAGCACAGCCTTTCCCCTGACCAATTCTGTTTTCCCTCTCTCCCTGGAGCTGTCCTACGTGATGTCGGGCTACCGCTGCTTCACGTGCCCCGTGGAGTTCAACAACGACACCAACAGCTTCACGGTGGACTGCGAGCCCTCGGAGCTGTTCCAGCTGCAGGAGTACAACATCCCCGTGCTGCTGCACTCCGTGCTGGGCTGGGTAGGCTCCCTGTGCCCTGCCAGGGGCTGGCAGCAGCCACGAGGGGCAGGGCTGTGCTCTGGGGGTCACAGCTAAGGGGGAGGGCGGCCGTGTTTGGGATCCCAGGGGAATGAGCCCACATCTGGTGGGACATGAATCCAGAGATCCGTAAGGAATGATCCCAGATCTGGTGGGACATGAATCCATTCCAGAGATCCCAAAGGAATGATCCCAGATCTGCTGGGACATGAATCCAGAGATCCGTAAGGAATGAGCCCAGATCTGCTGGGACATGAATCCAGAGATCCCAGATCTGCTGGGATATGAGCCCAGTTCCAGAGATCCCAAAGGAATGAGCCCAGACCTGCTGGGACATGAATCCATGCCAGAGATCCCAAAGGAATGATCCCAAATGTGCTGGGACATGAATCCATGCCAGAGATCCCAGAGGAATGATCCCAAATCTGGTGGGACATGAGCTCAGTGCCAGAGATCCCAGAGGAATGAGCCCAAATCTGGTGGGACATGAATCCATTCCAGAGATCCCAAAGGAATGAGCCCAGATCTGCTGGAATATGAGCCCAATTCCAGAGATCCCAAAGGAATGAGCCCAGACCTGCTGGGACATGAATCCATTCCAGAGATCCCAAAGGAATGAGCCCAGATCTGCTGGAATATGAGCCCAATTCCAGAGATCCCAAAGGAATGATCCCAAATCTGGTGGAACATGAGCCCACCTGAAAGCCCCCTGAGCTCCAGCCTGGGGTCAGATAGGAGGGCAGGGAGCAGGGCAGGGATGAGGGCAGGGAGCAGGGCAGGCCCTGAAGGTGCCCCATGTGTGTGTTTTGTGCAGAGGACCGTGAGGATGTACCCCTTCCAGATCCACAGCATCGCCCTG